AAACGCAGCCAGAGAACAGGAAAACCCTGAAGACTGACAAGTGAAACACGCTAATGATGCGAATAGCTGCTGCAAGAATTACAAAGGGACAAGCCGAGACGACCGGCTCCACGTTTTTATGAATTTACAACCATCCCATATCACTTCTCTCACTTTTCATTTCACTTGATATATCACGAAGCCGCTCCTTCAGGATTATTTTTATTTTTTTTTCATATTTTTTAGATCTTATCCGGGCAAGATTCAAATCGCATGAATATAAATTAACTCTGCTGTTGATAGGAGGCTGGTTTGAATTTTATCCCTTGGTGACAAATCGCAACATTTGTGGGTTCTTAGCAGAAACTCTGCAGAAGATAAGTTGAGGAATTACCCTGAAAGCATACGCCGGCACAAACAAAACATCTGGGAAGTGTCTGCATGAAATACTGTGGTTCTGAATGTCTTTATTAAAACTTTATGTAGATATTATCAAGTGAAATGAAGCAATAGATGCTGAACCGAAACTATACTGAACTGAACTCCAAACGAAAGTTTGTTACAACAGCTTGTAAGTAAACTTTCATGTATTCGAATACACAACAGATAAACTGTCTGGGGTTTTCCATCTGCTTTAGGGTCATGTTGATGAGCTGAATTCTCACATCTGGATCAATGAGTGAGGAGCAGGAAGAGAGACTCCATCAGGACAGAGAAGAGCCGGAGAATTTTCTACAATGACACAAGGAAAACTGGCAGGAATGTTGATGGAAAACCTAATGACGTAATGTTCAGTTCACATGAACCTACCTTTATCAGTGTTTATTATTCAGTTTACACAAATCCAATTTGTAACATTTAATTAATACACTCTGATATAAAACATTTTATTTTCTCCTAAAACCTTTTTTGAGATGAGAAATATTAACAGAAATGAACTGACATCACAAAAATGTCATCAGTTTAGTCAGACGATCGAATTTCTCTAAATCAAATTAGAATAAAAACCTGATGGAGATAAATGAACATCATTTTTTAATTCAGCGGAGCAAAATAGTCCTAATTCAGTTGACAAAACAGACAACTTCCAAAAAATATTTTTGTAATCCAGTGTTATCAGTCTCTCACACAGCGGTTGAGGAATGTTGACCAAATGTTGACTTCAGCGTTGCTTTAGTTCGTTGATCTTTGGGTGCGTTTGTTTCTATAAGCTCACCCCTGGTGAGGTGTTAGCATTGGTGAGGGGTTAGCATTGGTGAGGGGTTAGCATTGGTGAGGTGTTAGCATTCCCTAACCCCTCACCACATCGTTTCAGCCAACTTGACATCTGGACATTTGGGAGCATGTTGAGTCTTGTGAATTGCTGTGATGTTTGGATGAATTGTGCTGTTCTAAGAACTTTAAAAAAAACAAATTTCAGCTGCCTGACAGATGGCCTCTCACTTAGCTTGGTGTACAGCTCATGGTAAACCTAATGACGGAACAATGCCTGTTATTCTGCAAGTTGCTTCTGTCCTACTCTGTTGTGCTGATAATGCTGAGTTTGGTTGTAGCTTGTCATGTCATGGTTCTGTGCATTGTGGACAAATAATGTTATTTTAGACTTATCTGTCCAAAAGATATCACCACAGAAATAATGTTACAGGTGTCGTTCAGTCGGGTGCAACTTTGTCTTAAACCCGAGTTTTGCATTTCCAGAGAGAAGAGGCTCATGGTCCGTCCATCTTGATACAGACAGATGTCAAAAACAAAACCACTGCAGTCTTTAGCTGGTTCCCCAAACTCTGTCACCTTTTAGAAAGTGCAATGAGAGCTGAAGTAGTTCACCCAATATACTGACAAGTTACATACATTTTTTGTATTTGAAATACTGCAAGTTTTGTTACTATTAGTACTGTTAGTTTTGTTTTGTTTTGTTTTGTTAGGTTTTCTTTCTTTATACAAGCAGACAGACATAGATGTCAGCGTCTGATAACCCGTAGTTCCTCGTGCTTCAGTAGCAACGCTTAAAAGTGAGCCAAGGGCAAACCAGAGTCTGGACTAATGCATGTATTCTGCTGCGTCTACGCGTCCGGTGTATCGAGAAGCTACACTAACAAGTACAGACAAGCCTGTCGGAGTGAAGACGGGAAAAAACTATTGGATTTGACACAACAGTCGCCTGATTTTTTTGTTGTTGTTGTTGTTTGCAAACTCTCTCAAGATCGAGTAAGACTTCTTTCTTTGTGATTCACACCGTCTCGGTGTAATCACACTCAGCTGCAGTGTGAAACGGCGATGAACCTAATTGAGAAAATTCCCATCAGCCATTGGTGTAAGGTCTTTACTTTCAAGTAGTGACAACAACGCAATCATTTTTTTTCAACAGCGTATGAACCCCTGCTGCTGCTGCCACACACAGGAAAAAATAAAACGAGACTTTATGAAACACACACACACACACACACACAATCTGAAGCCTGACGCGGCCTATTTGCAGGACACACACACACACACACACACACAGTCTCAGTGTGTGTGCACCAACCAGCACACACCCTCATTCCACAGGAAGGCAAACAAAGTTGATGATTTTAATCACCATAACATGCTGAGAACACAAACACACCCTCAGGGTGCTAATCAATTACTGCAGCGCTCGCATTCACACACGTCCTTACGCACAAAAACACACTCGTGCAATCAAGCCAAACCAATTTCCCCCCCAATGCTGTTTTTTATGGCCATTTCTGAATTACGTGTGCGTGGAACAGGAAGCTGCACGCCTCGGTCAGAGAGGAAATATTTGTCACCATCAAGAGAGACCACACACACACACACACACACACACACACACACACACACACATGTGCATACACATGCAGAGATTTGACGACCACTTCTTCTCTTAGTTAAGAATTAGCATTTTCAGATTGACGTGCGTCAAAGTGTCCCATCGTCTCTCCCCCAGGTCCATCAATCAAAGTTAAGGATTGTCACCACACCTGAAGCAATCATCAGGCATTTCCATATCAGGCCCTCCGTGCGTGCTTGGCGTCTGCGGAAATCTTTTTAATGGCTGTTTCGGCATGACATTTGAAAACTTGACGTTTTTAAGGCGGTATGCGCAGATTGTGTTTAGCCCAAACAAAGACGTTAAAAGTCAACCTGTAGCAACTTCTCAGCAATATTTAGGCATCAGTGCTCACCTTTGTGTTGGTGAGCACTATTTACTTTTTAACCACATTTGCTTGTTGCTTCCACGGGAGGTGAAGTCCTCTTTCTATCTTTTCATTGAATTTTCATTTTCAAGCTCTTAACTTGGACCAAAATTAATTTTTTGCTGTTTTCATTTGTCCTTTCGGGTCTCATCCGCTTCTAAAAACTTTAAGAAAGGAGACCACTCAGCCATTTCTTGGCAATAAGTTCATCTTTTTTGGTGACTGGAAAATGAGCTGTTTCAAAAAGTTCACAATTATGACACTTGTGACACTGCACCGTTACCTAGCAACCTCAGACAAACCCTTCCAACCCAAACAGAGCTTTAGCATGTTTGGTCATCTGGCTTTACCACTGTATGTGTTGTGTAACGGCTGCTGGAAAAGACAAGTGTTTTGTTGTCAACTTACTATCCAGAAACCACTTGCTGCATTGTTGTTGGTTGTGCAGGAGGCTCCACTTCTGCTTTTCAAATATGTTCAGTTTTGTAATTATGCACCTGTTTTCAGCCATTTTCACATGAAATTGTAAACATTGAGCTGGGGGGCGTGGCCAGCAGCAGATTATTTGGATCTAAAGAGACAAGATGAGACAGTAAAATGGATCATTCTGAAAGGAGCTCAAAATAGGCAGAACAGAGCAGATTTAAATCTCATTGTCTAAGAATGATGTGCAAAAAACTGATCAGGATGTTTTCTGCAGCCCATACCTACCCTACCCTGTTCAAGAAAGCACAATAGGTTTTATCAGTGCCTTCATGGGAGGTAAAGTTCATTTTTCAATCTTTTCATTGAACTTTTTCTCTTAATTTAGGCTCTGAATCAAATTTATGGATGTTTTAGAAAGCTCAAACCTGACCTGACCTGAAACGTCATGACAGTGGACGTCTGAAGCAGTTCTGGATTCACATGATTCTTTTGTAGCATGTAATGCCACAAACAGACGGCCTCAGCGGTTTGGTTCTTGACTGTGCGGATAGAGCTGTCATTATGATAATACCGAGGTCTATCATACTTATCTGCTAATTGACTGCCTAACGAGGTGGCGTCCATTAGAATGCTCATTAATACCTCATCATCACCACTGATAGCTGTAATAACAGCATGTTGGGGATTTCAAGGTCTTACGTGATTATGTGTGCATTTGTGTTAGGAGAACAAGTATGGGATGTGACCATATGTTTGCATTATTATGAATGCAATTGTATTTTACTTTGAATTATTATTATTATTATTTTTTAGTTCTTGGGATATTGGTATTGCATGGCTTAACGGTAGCATCCCAACTGCTTGTATGTGCAGGTCCAAGATACTTTTGGGAAACTTTTGACCAAATTTAAAAGGAAAAGTAAATATGGCACCATCAGTGCTGTGGTTTTCAGTAGCTGTGTTTCCTGTACAACTGTGCACAAAACTTTAATATTTTTGGATGCATCTATTCAAACAAAAACCTTCACAGGAATTTGTTTTTATTCTTTCCACATCACAGATGCTGATTGAAGCATGTCAGGGTGCAGGAAGATGGGAGGTTTTGTCAAAAATTTCTAGCTGACTAGTTGAAAGCCTATAATTAAGTAACTGTATCAGTTAAATAAAGTTGTTTTTGTTTAGTTTTCTCTTGGAGATGGGACACGTAGTCCTCCATCTCTGACTTCTCTACTCTATGTGAAGAATTTAGAGAATTTTCTGGGTAAATCATTACTTTTCCCTGCAGCGAAGAGTCTTGCCATCGTCAAGTTTCTGTCAAATTACAGCCAGAGTTCTAGTCACGATTCAGTCAGAAATTTTAGATGCAAAAAGTGTGTGTGTGTTTTTTTTAATGGTGGTTGCTGACAGGTCTGTGTTGTACGGTGCAGGTATGCCCCTGAGTCTGGACTGCAGGGCCTTTTTCGGCTACAGCGGAGACAACAGGAAACCCAACATCTACTGGAAGAAAGGAGAGAAGTATGTGGAGGAGCTGGCAGGACACATCAAAGAAAGTGAAATCATGTAAGTACAACGGCGTTCACAGAACATTTCACCACATTACCACGACAACACGATGGAGGATAAAGCCAGGCGGTTTAACTTTAGAGTGCACAGGTGTGTGTGTGTGTGTGTGTGTTTTTGACCAATTTCCCAATGACTCTGCTGAATCTTCACCGCTCACACCGTCAGCACCTAATTTTCTTGTGATTTATGACTCGCCAAGCTTTCTCCGACAGGATCCTTCTCAACTCGCCTGAAAAATTATGAATCCTAATAATAAAGTTTAATTGAATTCATTTTCTTCCCTGTTGGGACCAATTACATCGGACTCTACTGGGAAAAGACTGGGTGTCTGCAGGGCATCAAACATCATTAGAACAATCTGCCAGATCGCTATGGTAACCGCTGGAATATTTACAATGTCACACGCTCTCTCTCTCTTACACACACACACACTGAGTTTAACAAAAGAGAGGATGTCTGTGTCCCCTGAAATACCTGACCTTGGCCAGGCTAACTCGCTCTTGTGCAAAGTCTGAAGTTGTTTCTTTTCAACTTTCTGTAAAAAAGAAAAAGAGGAAGAGGAAAGAGAGTGTTGAGAAAACCATGGCTCCAACCCAAAGCCTGGGTAAGATTTGCTATAATCCATTAAACATTTAAAGATGAATGTAAGGCTAAGTCCCAACTCTTCGGTTCTAGAGTTATGGATAATAGGTGGAAAAAATGGCTTTTTTCAAAAGTAACAAACTTCCTTCTTACAGTAGAACTTTGTAAGCTCTGATACGTTCGCGCTGTTTAGAACTGCAGTGCAGCAGAAACGACGCAAACAGCTCAACCACTGGACTTGATTTTCAGCAGAATCCCCTTCATGTCCTCATGTTTAGATCTGAGTCACATTAGTTTTCTCAGTATGAAAGTATAACAGCAGCTTTAGAAGCCATTTCATGGTCTTCCTCACTGTAAAAATAGGGTGTCCATTTGTGCTAGTCTTTGGGGTAAATTTACTAAAACATTTTGTGAAATACTATTTTATTGATTAGGGCTAAAAGATATCCAAATCAACCTGGTCCTACTTGGAATAAGCAATCAATCCTCTTGAATCCTCTTAAATTATAAATTAGCTTTGATTATCCATATTTATAGGAAAGAGTGTCACTATCCATACTGTGGCCTGATTCCTGCCAGACTTTAAGAATCATGAAAGATCTCAAAACGCCACACATCGTCTCCCAACAGAAATTCAAAAACACATGAGAAACAAAGTTGTCCCAAAGCCAAGGCTTTAGGACAACGTCAAGCTAAAGTTACGTTTGCCATCTGCAAATGGAGAAAACATGGACCAGTGGTAGAGCTTCCCAGGAGTGGCCATCTCACCAAAGTTACTCCACCACATTTCCTTCAGAAAGTCCTCAGAGAACATAGAACCAAATCTAAAGCACTGCAGGCCTCACTCGCCTCAGTGAAGTTCACCGTTCATTGATTTACCCGAAGGAATTCATCTCAGAGTTCAAAAGGTGAGAAGCACAACATCAAAGAATATCCATCAGTATATGACCATAAGCACTAGAGCTCTTAGGAAGT